AATGAGAGAGAATCATCGATCAGCTGCCTCTTGCACACCCCCTACTGGGGATGTGCCCACAACCAAGGTACATGCCCTTGACTGGAATCGAACCTGGGACCTTTCAGTCTGCAGGCCGACACTCTAACCACTGAGCCAAGCCGGTTTTGGCAAAACAGTAATATTCTTTTTTTTTTTTTTTTTTTTTTTTTTTTTTTTTTTTTAAATATATATATTTTATTGATTTTGTACAGAGAGGAAGGGAGAAAGATACAGAGTTAGAAACATCGATGAGAGAGAGTCATCGATCAGCTGCCTCTTGCACACCCGCCACTGGGGATATGCCCACAACCAAGGTACATGCCCCCGACCGGAATCGAACCCGGGACCTTTCAGTCCCCAAGCCGACGCTCTATCCATTGAGCCAAACCGGTTTCAGCAAAACAGTAATATTCTTAAAAATCAATTTTAGGCTTACAGAAAAATTGAACAGAAAGTACAGAGTTCCTCTTTATCCCCCCATCCCTCTCTCCACAGTCCTGTTAACTTCTTGCATTAGTCTGGTACATTTGTTACAATTGATATTTATTTATTTTTAAAATATATTTTATTAATTTTTTTTAGAGAGGAAGGGAGAGGGATAGAGAGTTAGAAACATCGATGAGAAAGAAACATTGACCAGCTGTCTCCTGCACATCCCCTACTGGGGATGTGCCCTCAACCAATGTACATGCCCTTGACCAGAATCAAACCTGGGAGCTTTCAGATTGACACTCTATCCAGTGAGCCAAACTGGTTTCTGCCTGCAGGAGTTTTTAAAACATGCAATCCCCCCAAAAAAGGAAAAGAAAAAAAAGGAAAAACAAACAAATGAACAAAAAACATGCAACCCTGACTGTAGTCACGGGCACTGACCTCTTTTCCCTTGAATGTCAAATAAAATAAAATGATAGTCAACACTATGAATTAACCAATGTTATACCCCTTTTTATTGCCAGATCAGCAAAAATATAGATATCTTGGTGTGCCAAAGAGTTTTATTACAGTTTATGTGTGCCATGAGATGATAAAGGTTGTAAATTGCTGCTGTAAACTGAGGAAGAGGTTTGTCCGATGTAGCCAGTATCCACAAGTGGCCATATACATCTAAACAACACATATAGGATGGGAAGTTCAGTTCCTGGTGACATGATTAAGAACATGTCCGTGTTCTTAGTCCCACATGGCAAGCAACTACTGTATCAGACAACACAGGTGTGGACTATTTTTATTGCTACAAAAAGTTGTAAAGGCATTGCTGTCCCCATCAGACACCAGTAAGGTCCCATCTGGCTTTGATACTGTGTGATTCTGAGTTCAGGGAAGTAGCAAAAGAGACACCTGAGGAGGCTGCAATAGCAGCAGGAAAGACAATGGAAACACTCCAGAAGAAAGCAGTTTAGTAATAATGTTACCTTTTCAGCCTTAAAAAAAAAAAAAAATGGTTGTGTTCTAATTGAAAGAAGACGATTATTAAAGTAACATAACGAGTCCTGGTTTACCAATTCATACACCAGTGTGGTCCCTTGGTCTGGCCTGTGGAATCAGGCTGAAACTGGCTCTCCAACATCCCCCCAGGGGACCCTGGCTGCAAGAGCTGCAGGCCAGGCCGAGGGACCCCGCTGGTGCACAATTAGGGCAAGGGAGGGGCCACAGGAGGGCTCCAGGGCATATCTGGCCTGCTCGCTCAGACCCAATGGGCTGCTTGTTAGTGCACAACCTAGCAAGGTATGGAGTGGCCTTAGCATATCATTAGCATATTACGCTTCGATTGGTTGAATGGATGACTGGACACTTAGCATATTAGGCTTTTATTATATTAGAATTTAAATTAAAAGCTTAGGTTACTATCACTTCTCCATAAAAAGAGTGTGGCTGTCCCTAACTGGTTTGGCTCAGTGGATTTAGCGTTGGCCCAAGGACTGAACAGTCCTGGGTTCAATTCCGGTCAAGGGCTTGTAATCCTCATCTGAGGGTATTTCCCTTTCTCTTCCTCTTTGTAAAATTAATAAAATATATGAACTAACAAAAAGAGTGTGGCTGTTGTTGTTGGACCCTGCAACTCTGATACAACTCTGGTACAACGCTGAGCCCAGATGTGGCTAAATCCAGCAGTGGTTAGAAGAGTTAAGTGCTTATTTTCCATAGAAGGAAGTTAACAGGTAATATATATTATCTGAACATAGGAAATCAAGAAATGGCAGTGTTGCCATGTTATTTGCAAATAAACATGAAGCTGAGTTTAAGGGAAGCAGTTAAAGTGGTCATCTTGGGAGGAGTGTAGCGTGAAAGTACTATTTTACTTTTTGAAATTTATTTTTATTAGCTTTGGCTGGTGTGGCTCAATTGGTTGAGCATTGCCCTGTGTACCAGAAGGTCACCAGTTTGATTTCTGTCAGGACATATGCCCAGGTTGTGGGTTCCATTTCTAGTCAGGGTGTGTGCAGGAGGCAGCCAAGAGAAATTTCTCTCCTACATCAATGTCTTCCCCTCTCTCCCCCTCTTCCTTCAAAAAAATAAAATAAAAACATTTTATTAAATGTGCTATTTTACTTCTGAACTACAACTTTGTGTTGTAAAATTATATTTTTAAAGTAAAAAAACAAACAAACAAACAAACAAAAAAAAAACACCTGAGAGCAGAGTTCTAGTTTGCTGCTAGTTACTTCCAGCTGTGAGTCAGTAGCTATGAAATAAAGGGCAAATATGAGTGTTTTGAAAGAGTTTAGAGGTACTGACACTTCTCCACTTGCAGTATTTGTTTAGTTGTGATTATATGTTAGAACAAATGAAAACTAGTGTTTGGACAGGTTACTTCTCGGTTAGGAGTGAGCACTGAGCAGAAACATTGGCTGTACCATCTGCAGGATCAGAAAGGGCAAAGAAGGTGAAGGTTGGAGGGGTACAGAATTGATGGTAGTTAGGGAAACAGATTTGATGGTGGTTAGGAAACAGATTTGATGGTGGTTAGGAAAACAGATAAGAACCGTATAAGGGATAAGGGATAGGTAAGTGCAGGTTTGTCCCGGAACCCTGGTCGCTGCTGAGACTCACCCCGGGTTAGCAAGGGGGAGCTGCAGACGCAGGTGTTGTAAGCGAGTGCAGTTCGTGGAGAGAGAAAGGGGTGGAAGACGGGCTAAAGATCCTAAAAAAAATTTGTATTCAGTGAGTTGTGATGTTTGTTCCTCAGTCCTCCCCTAAGGGTACTTCCATTGATTTTGGGGAGAGGGACATCCATGTGAGAAAGACACACTCACTGGCTGCCTTCCCTTAGGATCCAGCCTGCAATCTAGGGGACATGCCCTCGACCTTGACAGAACCGGGACCCTGAGTCGGCGGCCACAGGTTCTTTCCATTGAGCCCTTATTTTTCTTTATTAATTGTCACCCAAAAGTCAGAAACATCCCTGTGAGAACCGCATTAATTGATTGCCGCCCGCAGGGGCCCAGGCACATGCCCTCAACTGAGTCCGACCCCACCCTCAGTCCGCGCTACCCAATGAGCAGCCCAGCCAGGGCTGATTCCTTCTGAAGAATGGCAGCATAAAGGGCATGTTTCGGATTTTTAAAATTATGAGCGATGATGAATAGGAATTTCTCCAAGACTGGGTGTGTATTTGGAGAGAAGACCCAACTCCAGGGGCCTATAACCGGAACCACCTAGACCGGCCATAGCGCCCGCCCGGGGCACCTTCCCTCCCGGCTCCTCGGCGGAGACCCTGCGTCGCGCAGTTGCTGAGGAGCCGGAGCGCCAACCATAGAGCATTCAGTCCTCCCGACTTCCCAGAGAGACCGGAAGTGTTCTGGCGCCGACCATAGAGCGCTCAGTCCTCCCGGCTTCCCAGAGAGGCCGGAAGTGTTCGTACGAGGAGCGCGCTGACGGCTGGAGTCCTCCAGCTGGTGCGGAAGTTGGGCCGGAGGGCCTGGTGGGTGCTGCTCTCGTCCCTTTTCTGCCGGTTCTCCCCGGTCCGCCCGCCGCCCGCGGTCTCCCTGCCCCGCGTGGGCTGCGCCGGAGCTCGGTAAGTGCTGTCCGCCCGCCCGAAGGCGCTCCGTGGCCGGACCGCCCGCTGCGGGGCCGCCCGAGGCCTCCGCAGGGCCGAACCGCGGGGATCGGGGATCCCGGCCAGGCAGCGCCCCCGGACTTCTGCGTGGCCTTTCGTGAGGCTCGTTTCTTTGTCGCTCACGGGTTAATCCATGTTGTTTGTCCTAAAATAGGAAAGGGCCCCCAATTGTCTTTACAGCTGTTCCCGCCGAGTTACGTTGAGCAGCAAGGCTGCCTTCCTCATAATAAAAGTCTCCCTTTTTTCATTTTTTAAAGAGACATATTTTTCTATGGGAAGTCCCGGTGATCTAAGGAAACCTATTTTTGCTGCTTTGTCATTCAGCTCTTCGTGGGGAATTCAGGAAATGGGGGTGGTGTCTGTGTAATTGCACAGAAAGGAATTTCCGGCACCGCTGGCGGTGCAGAGCTCGCCTTTCCGGATTTACCCGAAGCAGGTGTCCCTTTTCCACTCGGGTGTTTCCTGAGCCACTGCCGCCACCACCTCCAAACAGCCGGTTAATATGCATGTTTGTGGCAAACACCGCGAGCTTCCGGTGTGGCTACGGGTGAAGTGTGGACGCCAAAGCTATCAGCCTCTGGTCTGAGAGACACAGAGTGGCCGGTGTTTGCTTCTCCCACCTTTTTAGTCCTGTAAACCTGGAAAAGCTCTTGTTCTGTTTTTGTTTATCAGTTCCCAAACATCTCAAATTATACTTAACTAGTCTGAAAAAAGAAAATGTTTCTTCCTCACCTGAGCTGTGACGTGCATGGCATTGTAGGGAGCTTGTTAAGATGTCTTAGTGTGACCTTTGACTTCCCCTAACACTAGCATTTTCTATTTGTAAAAGAAGTCCTTTAAAGAAGAGGCCCTCAGAAGGTCCTTCTTTTAAGAAAATAAAGACGGTGGTGGACGCAAGTCTCCTCATCTTTCCCAGCCCTACATGGCTGAAAAATCAAGAAAGTCTTTAGCCCCATCTCCATCCGACCAGGCTCCTGAAGAGGACCTTGTAATTGTCAAGGTCGAGGAAGATCATGGCTGGGACCAGGAATCCAGCCCACATGAACACAACCCTCTTGGCCAAGAGCTGTTCCGCTTGCGATTCAGGAAGCTGTGCTACCAGGAGACACAAGGACCCCGGGAAGCTCTGATCCAACTTCGGGCACTTTGCCATCAGTGGCTGAGGCCAGATTTGAACAGCAAGGAGCAGATCCTGGAGCTGCTGGTGCTGGAGCAGTTCCTGAGCATCCTGCCCGTGGAGCTGCAGGCCCTGGTGAAGGAACATCAGCTGGAGAGTGGGGAGGAGGTGGTGACCTTATTGGAGGATCTGGAGAGGCAGATTGACATCCTAGGACGGCCAGTAAGTGGCAGGCAGCGTGTGTGCTGTGCGTGGGCATCCTGGCGATCGGGCGGAGGGGCGTTTGCACCGCAGTGAGAACATCAATGCTAGGCATGCGTTCCTGCTGTTGGAGGACAAGAGCAGTCACAGTGTGACCTGGCTTATATTTACAGAATTATTTTTTAAAGTATAAATCCATTTTTTTCTCCTTATCATGCTGTGCTATTGCTCCTATTTGCAAGATGCATAGAGAGCTTAAGTTACTTTGTCAGGGACACCCAAACATTAAAGGTAGATCTGAGACCAGAGCTCAGGTTTCTTAATTCCTCATCAGAATAGCTCTGCTTTGTTCCTGATAGTCATTCTTCCCTGGCCTTGGGAGTGCACAGTATGTGTTGGACACAGGGAGGGCATCAAGTTTTCCTTCGGTTTCTGTGCAAATCAACGTGTGTGTGCTCCTTGCTGCTGGAGGAAATCAGTGAGGTCTGCTGCTTCCTCGCTGAGCACGCGTCCTGAAAATGTGCTTTGGGCCCTCTTCACCTTGCTTCTCAGAGGGGTTCCTCGTAACGCAGCTGCTCGTTGTGTCCAGGTCCCGGCTCATGCACATGGTCACAGGATCCTCTGGGAGGAGGTAGTGTACTCGGAACCCGCACCAGAGCCTCCAGATGCTCCACTTCAGCCTCCAGCAACTGGGCACATGGCTCCCGAGCTCCACGGGCCCTGGGACAGAGGTGAGGAGCCAGGTTTCACTGACGAGGAGGGAGGAGGAAGGAACCCTGCTTCGCTCCTGGGGAACCACTCTTTACAGACCATTCTTAGTTGTGGTGTCAGTGTTTATGTAAGCTTCGCACACAGACTGTCAATCCCAAGGCTGTATCACAGTAAATAGAGTTTGTCAAGAGACTGGGACTAAAGGGATCTTGTGACCGGCCCGAGGACAGAATGTAGCTTCGGTCAGAGGAGAAATTATGCATCAGTTCCTATTAGGAAGCCATGCAATTTGTATGTTTTATGTGCAACGTCAGGCTGAGAGGGACATCAAAGTGGATGTTTCATGGACAACCATAGGTGTGGAGCCAGAGGCAAGCTATCACCATTTCACAGTGATATCTGTGGCATGCATTTTGGCTGAAATACAGATAGTTTTATAATGGGTTGCTACTGACTTCCGCAAACACAATACAAGGTTGCCTTATTCACAGCTTCTCTCTCCTCCTCAGCTCTATCTGCTTCTCACAGTCCCACCCCTTCCCAGAAAGGAAGTCCTGGAAACCAGGTGGCTGCGTCACTTCTAACTGCAGGGCTCCAGGTGAGTCTGCTCCGTTCACTGAAGCCATGTCGCTGCCCTTGGTTACGAGCGTGGCCTGTGGCCTGTGTGTGGACTGCCTGCAGCATAGCTCACCCTGGAACTTGCCCAAATCCTTTGGGATAGAGACAGATTGGTATTTGACTTGTTACATTTTCCTCTTCCCAGCTGATCAGTACATCCCCAGCTCTTGACCCTGTGTAACCCTGGTGGGTCGGTGGCACCCTGGGTTTGAGCTGTGGAACAATCCAGTCCTCAAATGGGAGTTTCTTTTGTTTCAGACTCTGGAAAAGATTGAAGACATGGCTGTATCCCTGATTCGAGAGGAGTGGCTTCTTGATCCATCACAGAAGGATCTGAAGAGAGATGACAGGCCAGAGAGTTACAGAAGCATGTTCTCCCTGGGTGAGTGGCACTCCGGTTATTAATCATAGTTAAGGATTTTTGTTTGGCCATTTGTCTGTTTGCTTGTTTTTTAAGTATACTTACATTGTGAGCTATCTGAAAGACATAGTTGAGTGTAAATTCAGGATTCAACATAAAAATACAATATTGATCTTCTTGAGGTCTAAAATTGAACCAGAACTCAAATCCAGGACTGATTTAGCTTACACTTTTAGTGCTGTCTGAGTTCACTCATTTCCTCTGGTCCCAGTTCCCATAGGATATTTACATAGATTTCTCTCACCTGAGCCTCTTATGCTCCTTCCTTTTTATGACTGTTTGGGGATTTTTTTCTATTTCTGTCCCACTCATTAGATCTTCTAATTGTTCCATATTCCTTCCCACTTCCTGATTTCCACTTCTCCTCAGCTGATCCCTTCCCTGCTTTAGTCTCCTTTCCAATACCTTCTCTTTTTCATGGCACTTTTTCCCCTGTTAGCCAGTGGTACGCGGGTTTGACTTGTTCCTATGAAGGCATCTCAGAGAAAAATGTAAGCTTTGCAATTGGTGTAGCTGTTCCATATTTATTTTCCTTTCCTCCTATCTTTGATTCCTTCCTCCTAACAGAGAATAGGAAGTAACATTTGCTTGACGACTTATTACAAATTTGTTTCAGGTGGTGAAACCAGGAATGAGAACAAGGAATTAGCTTCAAAACAGGTAATATCTACCGGAGCCCAACTACATGGAGAGACAGCAGCCAAATGCAATGGGGATCTTATCGGGGGTCTTGGGCCTGGAGAAGCCCAAGACCTTCTGGGCAGATTAGAGAGGCAGCGCGGGAACCCCACCCAGGAGAGACGACATAAATGTGATGAATGTGGAAAGAGCTTTGCTCAGAGCTCAGGCCTTGTTCGCCACTGGAGAATCCACACTGGGGAGAAACCTTATCAGTGTAATGTGTGTGGGAAAGCCTTCAGTTACAGGTCAGCCCTTCTTTCCCATCAGGATATCCACAACAAAGTAAAACGCTATCATTGTAAGGAGTGTGGCAAAGCCTTCAGTCAAAACACAGGCTTGATCCTTCACCAGAGAATCCACACTGGGGAGAAGCCGTATCAGTGCAATCAGTGTGGAAAGGCGTTCAGTCAGAGTGCGGGCCTCATTCTGCACCAGAGAATCCACAGTGGGGAGAGACCCTATGAATGTAATGAGTGTGGGAAAGCCTTTAGTCATAGCTCACACCTTATTGGACATCAGAGAATCCACACTGGGGAGAAACCCTATGAGTGTGATGAGTGTGGGAAAACCTTCAGGCGGAGCTCACATCTTATTGGCCATCAGAGAAGCCACACTGGGGAAAAACCCTACAAATGCAATGAGTGTGGGAGGGCCTTCAGTCAAAAGTCAGGCCTTATTGAGCATCAGAGAATCCACACTGGAGAAAGACCCTATAAATGCAAAGAATGTGGGAAAGCTTTCAATGGGAACACTGGCCTCATTCAGCATCTGAGAATTCATACAGGGGAGAAGCCCTATCAATGTAATGAGTGTGGGAAAGCCTTTATTCAGAGGTCCAGTCTCATTCGACATCAGAGAATCCACACTGGAGAAAAATCTGAGTCTATAGGAGTTTAGGGGAAATTTAAATCATAGTTTTGGCATTATTCAACAGTAAAGGAACCACATGCTGTGTGAGGTCCTTCAGTGCAGTAAAAAGGCAGAAAGTTTGTCATCTTGACCTGATGCAGGGTCAGCATCTGTAACGGAGCCAGTTAGAATAGTTCTTGAGTACTTTTGGCCCAGTGCCTCATTGCAGGTGGGTTAGCTTGACTGTCCTGGAGGTGTCTGGTGGCCCAGCATACCCCTTAGAAGCTTAAAGAGTGAGTTGCTTGTGGCTTGAGGAACCTAACACCAAACTTTGTCTTCTGTCTGAGTAGCTGTAGATTTAAGTCAGTTTGCTCCTGGCTCCTGCTTGCTCTCACTCTCTGGCCCCCTCCCCAGTTAGTCTCCTGGAGGGGCATGTGTGTGCTCCTCAACCAAGGAAGCTTGCTTTAGAGTTCAAAGCAGCCTCTTTGAGACTTAGTGTATATTTATCTTTCTAAGATTCCAGTTCTAGGGAGAATTTTATAGATAGGTATTCAAGCTTAGGTGTGCATTTTCTTCTAATGTTCCTGGTAATCAGTGAAGTGCATATTCTCATTCATACTCAGAATGCTGTATTTTTAATAGCACTCCAGCATTTTGTTCATGTCACTTTCACCGATTCCATTGAGTCACTAAACACCACAAGTGTCCTCCACTCCCAGCCCCAGGCCCCGAGTCAGCCAAGGAAGTGATGCCTTAGTGATGGTTGTGGGCTGTGCAAAGGAAGGTGAGTGCAGACAGTCCACCTGCTCTTGAGCTTGGATGGTTGCCCCTTGTGGTGACATCTGGCCATCCTTCCCACCTCCCTACGCACGCTGTGGTACAGACGGGTGCTTTACACCATTCTAGTTATGGTGTCACATGGGAGCCTGTGGGCTTGAGGAAGGCATACAAATCTTTACACAGAATGTGCACTCATCCCCTTGCCCATCTCAGTGCTGCTCTCAATGGTTCCAGAGAGGTGGTTGGTCACCCTTGTTACCACCCTGGACCCCCTTCCTCAGGTGGCAGTACCTCACATGCCTCTTGCCATTAGCTTATATGTTACAGTGGTGATCTCTCAAGTACCTCACTTCACTGTTGCTCGATTTTCTTAATTTGGGTGCACACTCCATCTTTAATCCAGCAAAGACCACGGTAAACTAATCGTCACCAGAACAACCTTTCATCTTGGAGGCTACTTTAAAGTAACATCAGAGTTTACACACCCACACAGGCTTTCAGTTGTGTGGTTGTAACTGTGTTAGTAGTGTCATCACTGCAATAAGCATTCCTTCAGGTATTTCTGTTCGATAAAGCAGATGGGAAAACTTTATTAATCTTGAGTCACATCTCCTTTTTTTTTTACTTTGATTACCCACTTATTCACCAAATTTTGAATCAAATAACTTCTGGCTACTTTCAAAGTCATCTTTCATAATGGGAATTGATTTAATTAATTCTACTCAGAATAAGTTATAAGTTCTGAAAACCCCAAGACAAGTTATATCACTTCACACTGACTATTCTGAACAGGGACAATGCTCATTGTGATATTTTGATTGATTGATGTTTTTTAAAATCAGTCATAAAACCTTAATTCACAGAGTTCCATCTTTGAGATCATAAATTCCTGCCCTGTAATATATCTTTCTTCCACTGCTCTTTGGCCCACCTTTATCACAAACATCATGGTTACCTACACCTATTTCATTGAGTTGTTGTTACCCACCATCATTTGTCATCCTGGTTTCCTTGGTAAATTTTCCAGTCAGTGCTTTCAGTTGTCCTTCATGCTGTTATTCATAATAATTGTCTCCCTCCCTCCCTTCCCCCCTTTTATGGATTATTATTCATAATTCCCTTTTACCTAAAATTTCAAGAAGCTAGAAATTAATATGGAAGTCTCTAGGTCCTTGCTCTTCAATTGTGCCTTATGCTCTGTAAGATACTAATTCTGCTTGAGTCCTGTGCCACCTGTGAGCCAATGTTCCATGAGATGGAAATGGGAGACTTTCTGTGTGTGCATGTGCACTCCCCTCCCCTGCAACTTAGAGTGCTATTGTCTTCTATTCCAGTAAGTAATGACTGCAGATGTACCAGCTAACATCTCTTTACTCAGAGTCATGTGTAGCCAGATTATTTCAATCTCAGAATAGTAAGCATCCAGAAGAAATTCAAAGAAAAGAAAATATGACCAGAAATATCAGTGTTACACCGATGAACGAAAAAGAGTGACTTTCCGAAACCAGTTTGGCTCAGTGGATAGAGCATCTGCCTGCGGACTGGAAGGTCCAGGGTTTGATTCTCGTCAAGGGCATGTACCTTGGTTGCAGGCACATCCCCAGTAGGGGGTGTGCAGGAAAGCAACTGATTGATGATTCTCTCTCATCGATGTTTCTAACTCTATCCCTCTCTCTTCCTCTCTGTGGAAAATCAATAAAATATATTACTAAAAAAAAAAAAAAAAGAAAGAAAAAGAGTGACTTGACGGAGTATCTAGGATGACTCAGCACCCACATGAAATGGCAAGTAGTAAAAGACAGTGACATGCACCAAGTTCACTTATCCTGCGTGTTCTGTTTATATTATAATGTGAAGTAATTTCTTTGCTTTTCAGCCCTTGTTTTAAATGGACTTAGAGCGACAAGTGGTTCTTCTGGATTGCTGCCACCTCTTCATAGACCTGGGAGATTTCCTCTCTTGAGCAAGGTGGCAGTGCTATAATGTGGTGCTTGACTCCCCTGTGGAGCCATGGGCTTTGCTCTTTCTTTTGAAGCTCCAGATAGTACTGAGTGATGTTTGTGGAGCACTTAACTGTGTAAGACCCTGTGTTAAGCATTTCTAACTGTGTGATAGATATATAGTCCCCATTTCACAGATGAGAAGACATGCTTAGAGAGGGAAATGGGTTGACCAAGGTCACAAAACTGGTAAGTGACAGAGCGGAGATTAGAACCTATACGTTCTTGCTCTTGAGTCTATGCTCCTGAATATTGGTCTCTATTGAGCACTCTAGCCTGGCCTGAGAAGAGAATCAAGGATCGTGTGTCCCTCATACAGGAGAAACGGGACAGAAATGTGCAGGACAGGGCAAATCCATACAATTCCCGGAAGGTTGGTTGAAAATGCCATTTTGCTTAATTACATTACCTTTAAATATTGATACTTCTGATGCATTTTAGTACTAGAAAACTAAAGTGCATAAGTAAAAATGTTTATAAGAGTAACTGGGTGGATAAAGCACATCCAAATTCACTTCCCTGTAAACTGTCCCAGAGAAAGTAGAAATGTTGAGGGAAATGAAATATCCATGCAACCATCCATACAGATGGATAATTATAGTGACAGTAGTAAGTTCATCCACAGCATAAAATATGTAAAACCTTCCATTTCCAAAGACCACTCTGTTTTCCTTCTAGCATTTATGGTTTTTAGAAACTGCAATCCATTGTTCAATCCATTTCTTCAGTAATTTATTCTCAAAACTCCTTAACTGAACTTTGTACTCAGCACTCTAGTGAACTGTCCTCCAAACACCATTGGATGATAGCATGCCTTTTTTAGTTCTTATCCTTGGTCTGTATTTCACAGCATACTTTGAACTTACCTTGTATCTCAGGAATTCTCTTCTCCTTTAGCTTGTGGGACACTTTTTGGTCACTTTTTTCCCCCCCCAATTTCTAGCGTTTCTCTATTGGTCTATTTTCTCCTCTCCACTGAGCATATTCACTAGCTTTTCTGTCCTCTAGTTTATCCATTTTGATTGTCATTAACCTAATATTTCCCACTGTTGCCTTACACAACTTGATCTTTGAAAACAGAATTCATCACTCCTTGTCTCCCAAGCACCATTTTCCTTTTATATAGGCTTCATTTCTTAATTTCTTTATCCTGATCAGACTCACTATCGTTTATGGTTGTTGTTTTTTTCTATTAATCCTTACCCAAAGATATTTTCCCATTGATTTTTATAAAGAGTGGCAGGCAGGATGAAAGGGAGAGAGAAAGAGAAACATCAATGTGAAAGAAACAGAGCAATTGGTTGCTTCCCACATGAACCTCAAGGATGGGGCCTGCAACCAAAGCAGGTGCCCTTGACCGGAATCAAACTCAGCAGTCCTCAATCTGGGCTGACACTCTATCCACTGATCCAAACTGGCCATGGCTGTTTCTTACCACAATGTGGAGGTGTCTTGTTCCAGTCCACTCTACATGCCCAAAATATTGCTAAGTTGTTCCAATTCTAACTTTTCTCCTGAGGCTGGACGTTTAGAGATGGACAATTATGGTGACAGTAGTAAGTTCATCTACAGCACAAAATATGTAAAACTTCCAACATTTTCTCATAGTTTTTTCAGATCTGTATTTATCTGGGGCCCAGTTGATTGCAATTCTTTTTTTTTCTAGTGTCCCTGCTCTTCAAGATACTCATCTTGTGTGCATCCAAGATGATCTTTCTCAAACTCTGTTTTAATTGTCTTATTTTTACTCCACAAAAACCAGAACATAATTCCTATCAAAGCAGTGATGTTCCAAGTTCTGTTACCTGCCTTCCATGCTCTGTCTGTAGCAGCCTCCTTCTCCAACATTTCCACTTACATCATCACAGTAACATTTCCTGTGACTTTAACTGTTGTCTTACAGGCCCTTGACCTTGCCTCTGTGCCTTTCTCATGCTGTTACTTTTCCCTAGATTGCTCTTTGGCCCCAGCTCATGTTCATCACCGAATTCAAAGTCTGGTCTCCTTTATGTTTTATGAGGGAGTCCTCCCTGACTGGCTGCACCTACGCTAAGACTCCCTTTTCTGTGCTGCCTCAGCACTGATCTTTTTAGTTCACACTGTGGTCAAGCACTTACTAATAATGTGTAGTTTTGGAATCATTTCCCAGCACTCTGTATTGTAGTTTCACATTTGTATTTATTTCCAAAATTAAATTGTAAGCTCCTTGAGGGCAGAAATATTAATTTACATTTGTATCTCTGCACCCCTATTGCTTAATATGGTGCC